ATGGAGGTATCACTGTGTAATAAAAGGAGAGCAGGCAAATTGCAAATTTTGGCAGAGAAAAAAATAAGTTCAATTTTAGGCATGTTAAACTTAAGGTGCTGACTGGAAATCTGTATGGAAAAATTTAATATGAGGAGGTGTAGATTTGGGGTTCAGAAGTGAGCCAAGATGAAAGTTGTAGATGGACTCAATGAATAACTACTCTGACTGCCTACTCTGCACCAGCACCAGAATGTAAGTCATCAACATAGTAGTGGTAGTTATAAGAGTGCATGCCTCGAATGGCAGACAAGACCTTGGGATATATACATGTACACATTTAAGAGAAAAAGGAGGGAAAAGAACCACTGGAAGAGATTAAGCTACACTAATGAAAAATAAGAGAAGCCAGACTCGGTGGCTCAGCCTGTAATCCCGCGCCTTTGGGAGGCTGAGGTGAGTGGATTGCCTGAGCCCGCGGGTTCGAGACCCGCCTGGGCAGCGAGACCTCATCTCTACAATAAATCAAAATATCAGCTGGGCGTGGTAGCGCGCACCTGTAGTTCCGGCTACTCGGAAGGCTGAGGCGGAAGGATCGCCGGAGCCCAGCAGGTCGAGGCTGCGGTGGCTGGAAGAGGCCACTGCACTCCAGTCTGGGCGACAGAATGAGACTCCAACTCAAAAAAAAAAAAAAGAGAATAATGCACAAGGATCAGGGGAAAACTTTTCTAAGAAGGAAGCTAAAGGGAAGAGGGTGTACAAACTATTTAAAACCTAAAGAATCTTCCCTAAGTCTGTAGCTCCCTTCAGAATACAGATGAAGAGATTCAAAGAAGTGGCAAGAAGGACTCAAGCTTTCAAAAAGAAAACTGGAAACATACATAAACCTCACAAATATCAAGAAACCAGTGAGGTCTTGAAGAAAGGAAAATGAGAAATATGGTCCTAGTCTTAAGTCTACTACAGCAACTTTTAGCGAATCATTTAAACTCTGTATACCTCCAGCCACTCACAAAAATAGAGATTAAAAAAAAAGTTTGGGGAAAAGGATGTTTAAATAAAAGACACAGTTCCTGCCCTCAAATTACAAAGTCATTTTTAACTAAGAGCAAACCCTACAAATGTACTGAAAGTAAATATTTCACTTACAGTCCCACATGAGAGAATGAATATTAAAGAATGACACACATGCAAGCCATCATTAATGCAGATCAAGTGAGCAAATGTCTCGATAATACTCTAGTTGGAGGGTTCTCTCATGGACTTGAGTTGAGATCCTCAAGTTGAGATCCTCAAGTTGAGATCAAGATTCTCTCCAAAGATGCTTGAATTGAAATACTGAGCTGAGTTCACTCAAATATGAAATAGATTATACAACTATTGCTATACAGCAGTTTAATTGACTTAAATTACATCTTCTAGAAGCCAGACTGAAATTCTGACTAATAAAAGATTGTTTGATAAAGTATAACTAATAACAACATAAGGAAAAACCAACCAAACTGTGGTAGAACAAGTGACTTTACAACCCTCTGGGTGTATTATTCTCTTAGGATAACTTCTCAGAGGGAGAATATGAGTCAAAGGCATAAGCATCTTCAAGAGTTCCAATACATGATGACGCAGCACCTTTCAGAAATGGGATACCTGTACACATTCTTAAAAACAGCTTAAAAAGAGCTCATCTCTTAACATTCTTGCCACCATTTAGTATTATTATTTTCAAATTCTTTACCATGACAGAAAAAAAAAGTGTATTGTTACTTTGTTTCACTTGACAGCATAACATTGTGATGAAGTGGCCATGGCAAATTCAACCTGACTTCCTGCTGCCTGGTGAATCTTTTTTTTTTTACTTTTTGTTGCTCCTCTAGCCATATTTCCAGCAGCTGGCTATTACAAACCTCCTCTGCTTTCCTTAAACTCCAACTTAAGCCTTAGTGCCCTCCCTACCCACACTTTTCAGACCATTAACACCCAGGACAGGCTGATTCCTACAACCCTGAAACAACAGTACACGGCACGAGGGAGGCCAAATAAACAATGACTAGACTGGCATGGCATGGCCTAAAGTGGCTTGTATCAGGTATATTGGATTTGAAATCCCAGCTCTGCTTCTCATTTACTATGTGGTCCTGGGTAAATTAATCTTGCTATGCTACAGTTTCCTCTTCAATAGAATGACATTGTATAGCCAACTCACAATGAGGTGCAAGAAGCTAGGATCTGGTGCAAGGAATGGCATATGGCTGTTAGTTTCTTTCCACACCTCCACATTGGTCTGCTCTTTCCTATGATTTAACAGCTTTTTTCTTTCTTTCCTTTTTTTTTGAGTTGGAGTCTCACTCTGTCACCCAGGCAGGAGTGCAGTGGCACAATGACACCCACCCCAGCATCGACCTGCCGGATTTCAGCGATTCTTCCGCCTCAGTCTTCCAAGTAGCCGGAACTACAGGTGCGTGCTACCACACCTGGCTAATTTTTGATTTATTGTAGAGACGAAGTCTTGCCAAGTTGCCTGGGCTGGCACTGAACCCACGGGCTCAGGCAATCCACTCGCTTTGGCTTCCCAAAATGCTGGAATTACAGCTGAGCCACTGAGCCCAGCCGATTTCACAGCTTTAAATGGATTTTTATACAGCTACATGTACAATCTTCTTTTCATGTCACTCTGATGCACAATGAGGACACATTAATGGGTCTTTATTTATCACTACAAAATCAAGTATCTGGCACTGAAGGATTTCCAAAATTTAGCTCCATCTTACCTTTTCAAATCTATCTCATACTCCTCCCTATAAAAAATTTTCTAGCTTAGCCAGACTAGACTTGTATCCATATGCATTTTTCCTCCCTCTCTACAATTCTCTAGCTACCCAAATCCTTCTCATTGTTAAGACACGGTACTGTTATTGTTATTTTTAGTGGCTAATATTTATTAAGTGCTTTCTATGTGTCAAGTACTATTGTAAGTATATTATGTTTTCTATTTCACTTTATCTTCATAATCCCTGCAAGATAGCCTACCATTATTTCTAATATTGAGACAAGAATACACGTCTTCCTTCTCTAAATAGTATGTACAATCTTTTATGATATAAACTATGCCTTGTACTTCTTTGTATAATTATCTAGTTAAACAGAAATTCAATAAGCATATATGGGTTGATTGTATTTTCATTTTTATTTTGTTTCCTTAAGCTGCCATAATGCTCACTTTCATTAAATCTAGCAGTTTGTAAGATTGTAAAGTTAAAAAGGTCATCTAAATGTTACAGATGTAGATATTTTTAGGGATCTGAGTCTATATTCAGTCATATGGTAAAGATTCTGCATGCTGAAGAATGGGAATAGTTGTAGTGATAGGGTTTGAGTTCTTAAAAAGAAATCCCTGGGGTACTAGGATCATGACAGCATGATCATTCTTGATTAAAACCATTGTGTAAAAAATAAAAAACCTTCATCCCTGGTCAAAAAACCCAAAAACAAAACCCAGAAACTCAGAAGTCCCATTTCTTCACTCATTTGTTGTAAAAAAAAAAAAAAAGCATAATTTGCTGAGCCGAGAGGATTGCCTGAGCCCAGGAGTTTGAGACTAGCCGAGGCAACTTGGTGAGACCTCGTCTTTACAATAAGTCAGAAACTTAGCTGGGTGTGGTAGCACGCTCCTGCAGTTCCAGTTACTTGGAAGGCTGAGATGGAAGAATTGCCTGAGCCCAGCAGGTCAAGGCTGCGGTGGCCGTGAGCATACCACTGCACTCCAGCCTGGGTAACAGAGTGAGATTCTAACTAAAACAAAACAAAAAGGCAAAAGCATAATTTTCCTTATATATTAATTGACATCCAATGATACCATCTTCCCTTCCCAGAAGAAATGATCATTTAGAATGTCTACAAAATAAAATGTGCTTTAAGGGACTTTCTTAAATTATATGACTATGGTAAGCAGGATTTATTTTTCTCTAAGATGTCTTAAATATGTAGCACAAACTTTTTAATCACACTTCCCTCTCATAACCTACCTAAATCCAAAGATACAAGGAACACTTATAAGAATCCATTAAAAGGAGAGCAAATCAATCTCAAATAACAGTTGATATTAAAATCAAATAATGGGAAACTGTATACTTTTTTAAATTTTAATTTTAATTTTTTTTGAGCCAGTGTCTCACTCCATCGCCCAGGCTGGAGTGCAGTAGCATGCTCACGGCCACCCCAGCGTCAACTTACTGGGTGATTCTTCTGCCTCAGTCTTCCAAGTAGCTAGAACTACAGGAATGTGCTACCACACCCAGCTAATTTTTTGATTTATTGTAGAGACGAGGTCTGACCAAGTTGCCCAGGCTGGTCACGAACCCCTGGGCTGAGGTAGTCCTCTTGTCTTGGCCTCCCAAAGTGCTGGGATTACAGGCTTGAGCCACCATGGCCGGCTGAAATTGTACTTTTAAACAAAATTAATAACTTAGTTTTTGACTAACTTATGAAAATAAAAATTTTCGTACTTGTATGTGCTGTTTTTTTTTTTTTTAAAGACTAAAGATGCTGAGGTTTTCAAATTAGCTTCCTTATGGTTAAGGCTGAAAACAAGAAAGGCTACTATGTTGATCAAACCATATGCTTAATTCATAAAGTGGAAGAAAAGAAATGCTACTACACAGCACATTCCAGTGAAGAGGAGAAAAAAAGGTTAATCAATTCAACTCAATTTTAGCTGAGGGCATTTTTCCACGACTACTGAACCCTAGCATGTGTTAGGCAGCTAAAATTACACTAAAATGTGTAAGCACTGTTGTTATTTTAGAGATAATCCAGGAAGCAAAACAAAGCCAGAAATTCTCTCTGTATTTTTAACATGAAATGCTTTAATTTTCAGTCAAATATATACTTTTTTGTTTTAAGATACTTCTGTATTTTCTCCTCTCTTGTGTATATTTAAAAGTCTCCACAATAAAAAGTTAAATTAAAAAATTATTTTATATGTATTTCCAAAACACTGATCACCTTTTAAAAACAATTCTTACCAGTCTCTGCTTCTGAAGCTCTTCTCTAAGAATTCTATCTTCTGGTAAAACATCACACAATAAAAAATAATTATCTTGTTCTTCTGTTGAGAGATTAGGAAAACAAACGAGAGAAAAGATATTTATCATTTTTTACAGGACTTATTTCTTTAAAACTGTGTGTGTGTGTGTGTGTGTGTGTGTGTGTGTGTGTGTGTGTGTATGTGTGTGTGTGTGTGTGTGTGTTAGGATCTCTTCCGGTATACAATTCTGTTTTAGCTTTATTTAGTTAGGCAAAATAAGCACACCAATTTCTTTAAAACTGTGTGTGTGTGTGTGTGTGTGTGTGTGTGTGTGTGTGGTGTGTGTGTGTGTGTGTGTGTGTCTGTTAGGATCTCTTCCGGTATACAATTCTGTTTTAGCTTTATTTAGTTAGGCAAAATAAGCACACCAATTCAATTTTAGTTATCATGAAGCAAAAGCAATTCTAATGCAAGACAGTAAGATTATTCCTTTGAATTTTTGGATTGTAGGGAAAAGATGGTAGCCAAGATGTACACTTACCAAACGGAGCTGTGGAATTAATTCTTATCACACTGCAAAAATCTATGATGGGCTGTTCAGTGAACCTTTTCCTCCAATATAAAATGTACCTTAGAACAATCAAAAATAAAGGATGGTGAGAAGACTTAATATACCACTCTCTTTAGAATGACAAGGTTTTATAAGAACATTCAGCTATCCCAAAACAACAAATCAAATGTTACCTGAAAACTGCTTTTCTAGCAGTTTTTGTGAATACAAAGGCAGCAGAGCGTTTTAAAATATATGATATAAATATTTAATAAAAAGAAGTCACTACATAAAGGCATAAACATAATTAAACTTTACTATCCCCAGATTCAATAAACAAACATACAGGGAAGTCAAAATGGATTATGACAATGCAGTTTTCTAACGTAACCTCTAAGTTTATATGTCTTTAAATGCAATGATTAAATAGGCTATGACACATGTTCCAACAAAAAGAAAGTTAAATAGTCATCTTACATATCAAAAGAACAGAGGTCAGAAGAATAATGCAATGAGAAATTAGTCTAAATTCAATATCTATATAACAAGATAGAAAAATTCAGTATGCTCACACTGTGTCCAAATTGAGACTTTGGAAAAATAGCCTAACTTACAATTCTTGTACCTAATGAATAGAGTTAGAAGCCACACTCAGTTAAATTTAAAAACAAAACACAGCTCCCACACCTGTGTATTTGATAAAAGAGGAAGTAAGGTGATAGGATGTAAAGTGCTGTTCATTGCTACATTTATCTAACAAGAGTTGTATTGGCAATTGCAATCTCATTTATTAAATGGCACCAAGAAAAGAATGTGGTCTTCACAGGAAGGAAAAAAACCCATTTGTACCCCTAAAGCTACTGACATTTTAAAAATATGTTTTTTTTTTTTTTTTGAGTTGGAGTCTCACTCTGTCGCCCAGACTGGAGTGAAGTGGCCGCTCCCGGCCACCGCAGCCTAGACCTGCTGGGCTCCGGCGATCCTTCCACCTCAGTCTTCTGAGTAGCTGGAACTACAGGCACGCACTACCATGCCTGGCTAAAATTATGTATTTTAAATAAAAATTTTTTTTTTAAAAAGGAAAAGTCAACTCCATGGTTGACAATTTATCAGGCTACATAACTTATGGAGAAAACAAGCAACTTACACCAAAGAAACAAAGCCTAGTAAAAGAGATGGGACTTACTGTATTGAACAGATCAAGTTTATGGAAAGAACAGGGATCTGGACATTTTAAACGACTCGATATAGCAAACTTCACAGTGTTTTGGACATAGCAGGCCCACAATAATTGTAGGGGAGCATCTGAAGATTCCTGTAGAGTTAACACCTTACAACTAAATAGCCCCCAATGTACAATATTTTGTCTTGTTTTCGTTACTACTTTTTTTTCTTAGCATGATTTCTCAATTCCATGGTGCTCTATAAAAAGGGCATTCAGGCAGTAGAAAAAAAATCTGTGCTAGAGAGAGGCCTGAGAGAAAGCGAGAACCATGACACGAGGGGACATAAAATATAAGTAGATGTCAACACTGAATGAACACAGGAAATAAGGAAAAGAAGCCAATGAATAACGTATAAAAATAGAACCACATGTTGTAGTTTTTCTTCTCATATACAACCATACGGTCAATCTGGATGGGTAAGTAAAGTGTATAAAACAGTGCTGGATCTTATTCTAAGAGATCTGAAAATGAAAATCTTAAGTTCCCACTCAACCCACAAACATAAATGATGCACAATTACTCTATGGCTAACTCACTGGCTCAGATGAAGGCAAGTGCGTATCAGATCCATCACAGCAGACAAAAAGAGAAAAAGAATCTACAAGATTATTTCCATGGCCAGCCTGGGCCAGTTTCAGCACCTTGTACTCCTCAGTATCCTACACAGCTACTCCTATTCCGCACTTGTCCCTTCCTTGCTAGCTGCTTGTTCTCTTGCTGGGGGAGACAGGAAAAAGGAAGTAAGAGAAGGCAAGTCTCATCAGGAAAAAAGTAAAAGAAGGCAAGAGAAGGCTTAAGATAATAAAAATGACAGTCCTTTTCTTATTCTCCTCAAGCACATTTTCTATTACAAAGTGGTGACAGGGATGAAGGAATACAGTAGAACCTGTATTAGAGATGTCAGGAATAGAAGATGAATTGTTCTTCAAAACTGAAATACAGAAACATCTGTTTTCATGACTAATCAAATTCATATATTCATATTCATACCAGGTACTGAGAAAACCGACCAAAAGACAGGAGGGCCAAGTTCTCTCTGGAGGTTCCTCTTGGCTACTACTTGAATACACCAAGGAGAAGTCTGTCAATCCTGGTTGAAACTCCATTAAGGACTACTTGGGCGATATCCTTTAGATAAAACTGAGAATAGTGGTCAGCCCTAAATAATATTAGTCTACTTTGGGTCTACAGCCTGTTAAAAGACAGTTATAATTCCTTGAATAAGCAGGCTGTATACCTTTGGAAAATGTTCACAGACTTAAAAAAGTATTTGGGCAAAATTATGTGAAACAGATAACCAGGTAAGAGCTTATGTCTTCATGGCCAGACTGCCCTTTGAATAATCAATGATTTATTTTGTAATGGAGAGTCAACATTGTACCTTGCTTATGTGCACAGATCATATGCCAGAAGCAGTTTTGCTTTTGAATTAAGATAGTGGCTAATGTATTAATAACTGACTGTACCAGCCCGGAGGCAAGGGTGAATTCAGCAAGGACTTTGAATTCAGAGATATGAACCCAAATCTAACATTATTTAACTTTTATAAAACTCAGTCTACTCATTTGCAAATGACACTGATAATTAAACAGAATGACACATGTGAAGCACAATGTCCAACATCTTGGGTATTGAATAAAAGACAGATATTACTATAATAAAAAGAAACATATTAAGACTAAGGTGGTAAAAACTTTATGCTTATCCCAGAGAATTAAAGATACCGAACATACAAAAAAAATTATATTTTGTCAAATATTTAATGAGGAAGACAAAATAATTATATTAATAGTGTCAGAGGGCACATATAGGTGGCTAAGGTGATAGAAGAATAGAATGTTGATGATGGCAATGAGGAAAATGATTAGGAGGTACCATTTTTTAATGAGTTCTTACTTGCCCAAGGTTGCACAATTAAAATGCTAGAATTGGGATGTGAACTTGATCTCTCTGGCTCCAAAACCAAACTCAGTCTTCTAAAATACAGTGCCTCTAGTGTCAAGTGGGGACCAATCTGTACAAAAGGGAAGGCAGGGGCAGGAAAAAGTGCCGAGCATTATAGTTGCAATGGATTCTTGAAGCATTTTTTTCTTTCTTTGGAGACCAAAGAGGTTGCATCAAATGTTTTTTGCCAAGGCAGAAACAAGGACAGAAATGAAGTCTGAATTCTTTTCTGAGGCCTGAATGAAGAGGAAATGTTTTCCCTTCTCTACATACTATCTCACAGCAGCCCTTGTGTGAACTGCTCCTATTCTTCTATCTAAGGATTTAAAGTTGACACCAGTTGTTTGGGGCTGTTGATTTGGAACTGCTTGCCTAGGCAAGCAAGAGGTGCAAAGAAGTTCCACTACAAAGATAACAGTGGCCTGATTCCAATAGTCAATGTGTCTCAGTCTCCTTCTACGTTTGAGTATTGTCTCCTTGATGTTTGAAAACAATCACACAACATACTTACTTTGTATCAGAGTTTACTTCAAGGCAATAAGCACAGGGAAGCAAATACATTAATTGACTTAAATCACAAGGAGATTCTGTCTAGCAGAACTTCAGCTGCCCTCTTCAAACAGGGAGGGAGGGGTTCCCATGGGATAGAGGAAGAGAAGACTGCTGTATGCTCATAGTCTGCCAGTCTTTACACTGGTTAGACATTATTTTATTGCTTCATTAACAAGTAGTCATGCATTTTGGAAATGATGTTTTCCAGATGGCATTTCTAGGAATATCTCTGAGATGCTATTAGGTAGCTTCTAAGGGCAGAAGGATGAAGCAGGTAATAGGATGGCTCAATAGGAACAAAGTTGTCATTTAAGTGTTCTTTTCCTGATCAAAGATCAAACATCAAAGAAAAAAATCATCTATCACAAAAGCAAAATATAACCATAAACCCGCACTATACAATGTAAATATAAATAATTATGCATCATATCTAAAGTGACATACTATAAAAATAGACCTTGAGTGCAACATACATTTGACTCAAGTCTAAATTTAAGTTAAGAAACATGCTAGATATTAAATAACAGCATTTTTTTGTTTAAATTAGAATTAAGAGGTGTCAATATATACATTTCCTTGTGATTGGTAGAGACATTCAGATAAAATACATTCAATGGAGAACAGCTTCAAGACAGCAGATCTTCAATACATTCTTGTGGTATTTTTTCCCATCCACTAGAACATATTTTTCAAAGTTAAGCCTTCATTTAGAACATCTTTTCTGCATTTTTTCCTACTTCTCCAGTTTATTCAATGCTACAATTGCAGCTATTCAATAAACAAAGGCCTCCAAAAAATAACATGTGGTAAGAACTCTCTTTGGTTGAAGTTATCAAAGCATTTCATACTTAAGTAATTACTAGACCAGCAGCAAATACTTGTTTCTTACTCAGGAACTTCAAATAATGCCTGACGGATCTGTCTCACAAAAAAGGTGTTTAGTAATATCTTGCCTGCTCAGCCCCCCACTGTAACTGATGTGCTTGTTGACATAGGCATTAAGGTTTGAGATATGGTTGTTAATTAAGTAGCACTGAATGAGTGGAATTTAATATAGAAGGGGGTAAGAATTAAGGACTTAACATTTATCTTTTAGAGCAATTTTATCTACTGAATAAAGCTAGCAAATACCTCAGGTATAAATAAATATGTTATGGGCTCAAAGGAAAGATTTTTATTTTTATTTTCTCCACTCCAAGTAGTTTTCCTGTTACTTTGTTTCAATTTTAAAAATCACATATATTTAATATAAAAGCTTATAGCTTACTTCTTGTAAACCACAAGGAGAGTCCATCTCTTATTTATTACTCATCATCTTTATTACTCATTGTACTCAGAAGCAATGCTTCCTCTCTGAGAAGCTCTGCATGAATGCACTCAGTCCAGTGGAACTGTTACTGTTCCCTCCTCCCTACTCCCACTGCCACCCCTTATAACTTCTCTTCTAAAGTTAGGAACAAATCATGTAATAAGAAGATTCCAACTTAACTCTGATCTCAAAATCATTACTTGTATCATTTTGAAGAGGAATGTACAGCTTCCCTAGATAGTAAGAGGTTATTATTTAAAGGAGACTGGATATACTAAAAGGCATTTAAAAGCAAAAGAGTTTACTCAGATACATTCCTGGCCAGTTTGAATGTATCACAATTTTACTTGCTGAGAGCGAAAATTTATTTAATTAGAAGGACAGTTGACAAGTAAAATCTAGGTTTCCAAATTTATTATTATTATTGTTATTATTATTGGAGTCCAGGTCTCACTCTGTCACCTGGGTTGGAGTGCAGTGGCATGTTCACAGCTCACCACAGCCTCCAACTCATGGGTTCAAGTGATTATCCTCCCAAGACGCTGGGACTACAGATGTGTGCCACCATACCCAGCTAATACTTTTTTGGATTTTTTTTTTTTAATGGCGATGAGGCTTTGCTATGTTGCCTGGGATGGTCTTGAACTCCTGGGCTCAAGCAATCCTCCTGCCTCAGCATCCCAAAATGCTGGGATTACAGGTGTGATCTATCACGCCTGGGTAGGTTTCCAAATTTAAAATACATGGTAACTACATACTCTAGAAAGCACTTATATCAGATATGTATCTTTTTCTTTTTAACTAAAGCATCTATTTTATCGCATTATGTGCATTTAGAGCATGATTGATCCCAACATTTAATTACTGACTCCTAAGCCCTAAGACCTAGTAAATCATTTGATTTTCCTGCCCAGATAGGAATAATGAGGTTAATAACAATGACAAAAGTAGATTGATTAGTACAAATATAGCTAGTTAACTATCATATATAAGCACAAAGGAAAATATAAACTCTGATTCAGATATTCCTCACATATTTTAGAGGTAGAAGAGAAAGAAAAATCTTAACTATTCAATTATCAATGGTAGATAATCATATTTTTCTGCAATTCCTGAGGAAAAATTTGATAAAAGAGAGTAAAGGAATAATTTCACATTAAAGAAAAGTAGAGTAATAGAAGACTTATAAAAGAATAACCCATTTAATAGCCTGGTCAATGGTTATGTGAGTAACAACTAGAAAATCTCTAGCCCAAGAAGTGTCTGAAACAAAAATCAACAGATCTGACTACACATAACTAGCTAGGGTTTATATATGAGAAATTTTCCAGAATACTCAGAATGAACACACACACACACATACACACACACACTCACACACTTTAATTGAAAATAAAGATAACAAATGAGGATCGCAGTACCTCCTCTGAAAGAGTGTAAGGAATTAGCTTATTTTACATACATCATTCATATAACTCTCCTTCCCTACTGAGTTCTGTCTCTGCCCCTAAACAGGCAACACCAAAATCTACTAACAAGTAGCAATGCTGAGCAGACATAATGGGCCATACAGAGAAGGCACACACCAGATATTCAGTATTGGTGGAAGGCAGTTGAGTTGCATGAAGGATAAAGATCAGGTCTAGAGAATAGCTAATATTACCCCTGTGGGCATGCTTGCTATTCAAACTTAAAAAACAAAGTCTTTCTAGAAGTTTCGGTTATTTAGACCCATGAATGAAATTTTCTCAAAAATTAAATTTTACAAATGATAATTAAATTTTTAGACCAGCATAAATACGTATTGAAAACTCCAGCTATAGTTGCAGAAAACTAAGATTTCATAAATATCTTTGGTAGTCAAAATATAAATAAAATTTTGTTTTTTGGCTACCACTTATCAGGTATACATTATGTCTCAGGTGCTATACATACCCTGTTTTATATAATTTTCAACAACCTTATGAGGGCTGGCATTCCTCCATTTTATAGATGAGGAAACCAATGCTTAGAGTATTTTAAGTAGCCAGCAGGAGTCACCAGGTTAGGAAGTCTTGATGGCTGCATTCAACCCTAGTCCTGCCTGGTTTCACAGTCAACTCTTAAGACAGTTTTCTGCTTTGCAAGACCCATCCATCATGAGAAAGACGTTGCTTGCTAGCAATGATTTATGTGGTCTGGGAGATACAGTGTTTAGATGCAGAAATATTACAATGTTTGGGTTGTTACTCTGACATTCTTGTAGGGAAATCAGGACATTCTTGTTAGTATCTGGACAAACCTGTAACCATTTGATGTTGCCTCCATGGAAAATTCTTTCGAAGTCTCAACTAATCATGACATGAAATAACTACTCCAGTACAACTGCTAAAGGGAAGGTATTCCTCTTGGACAACTACTTTCAAAAATTGTAAATAGGGGGAAAAAAACTGCCTATATTACTTGTCTGCTGGTATGAATCATTCTAAGTCAGGTGACCATAAATTGGAGTCTAGGTCACTTTAGGGCCTGGTTGTGTAGGTTAGGTCCCATACAAAAAGAACATTTCATACATGCCCAGTATCGACAGTTCTTCAAGTACTCATCTCTGTCTGCTTTTTCATCTTCCTTGTACTCTTCTTAGTACCCCAGTCACTGACCTCAATAGCTATCAATTCCCATACCCTTTAGGTTTGTTGAATGATTAAATTTTGGGGGGTTTCAGAAAAGGATATTGCCCAAATAAATATCAGTTTAAGTATTCACCAGAGCACTTAAACTGATATTTGCTTGGGCAATATCCTTTTGGTTTGAAAGGTTCCAAGGATTCCTGTTCCCAAACACTGCCTTTCGGGTGGCCTGTTACCAAGTCTATTCTGGGCTTTCCGGAAGGAGCCACTCAGTTAGAGAATGCCTATGATGTAAAACATGAAAAGAATATCCTGTAACCCCAGCACTTTGGGAGGCCGAGGTGAGTGGACTGCCTGAGCCCACGGGTTCGAGACCAGCCCAGGAAACTTGGCAAGATCTCATCTCTGCAGTAAATAAAAAATTTAGCCAGGTATTGTAGTGCATGTCTGTAGTTCTGGCAACTTGGAAGGTTGAGGCAGAAGGATCATCGGAGCCCAGCAGGTTGATGCTGGGGTGCTGTGAGCATGCCACTGCACTCCAGCCTGGATGATGGAAGACTCCAACCCCCCCAAAAAAAGAACAGCAATCTGATAGACATCAATAACAACTACAATATCATGGAATGTTACAAAGGGAATATTATCTACTCTTGGGGAATTGGAATGTTTACAGAACTTGTAGGAAGTGAATTATTTTGTGACATTCTCAACTACAACTTACACATTCAAGAAAAAAGTGCAAAGATTTTTTTCAAAGTCTAAGGAGTGCAAAATAGTGTAAATTAAAAAAAAAGTCTAAGGAGAAATGTGAAACAGAATATTAATTTTCATATTTGCATAGGAATTATTATATACATGCATTATGTCATTCCTCTAATAAATAACAAACTTTCATCTTTTACAGACAAAAACAAAACTTACCTTTGGAAATCAGCAACCAACCTGACATCAGCTATGACAATCTTATGCTCAATAATCATGTGCTTTAGAAGTTTGTCTTGTTCAACCACAGGAAAATGTTCTTCACAGAAAATACAAGGCACAGATGGAGAACCTTTTAAAGTGGTGGTGCCACCTGGATTTTCTGGCAGGGAAAGCGGCTCCAGGATACAATCCTTACTGTCTGAAAGACACACACAAAAAATAAAAAATAAAAAAAGAAAGAAAGAAAGAAAAGCTGAAACCAACTCTTTAGATGGGTGATTTCTCACCTGCTGCATTAAAAGTATCCTAAAGATATTTATACGTCTCCAAAAAGAAAAATACATAGCATCAAAGAGTAGGATACTTTATTATCATTTTAAACAGCTTTTGCAACCCAGAGGCAGGGAATACTGCAAAGCAGCTCAAACTCCCCATTTGCTTGCTTTGAATAGGGAAAACCCATTTGTCAGGGCAGCTGTTCAAGTCTTCTTCTTGGACATTGGCCAATGGCAGCAATTCCTGGGGTACTTGCAAGGGGAAAGGCTGTATCACTCTGGGTTAAAGTTCTGAGGCTCAATTGTGACCTATGGCAGAAAGTCATCACATTAAGGGAAGTGAATGGTTTATATTAAGGCTACAGATGATGCCTGCCCTTTCTTTGAAGCTACTTCCTGTCACACCTGCAAACTCTTTTCTCTTTCTGATTATTTGTCACGAACAGAGAAAAAGATAGCTCTCCCACTGGGTTGATGCTGAGTGACCCTGGTGGCAAATTTCTATGTTGATTTATGTTTAACATTTGTTTATTACACAAGTATGTATCACAGTTCAGGCATCTATAAACCAAGAGATGAATACTCTATTATTAGACATATGTGATGTGATGTTTTTCCTGTCTGTACTATTCCTTTTCCTAACATCACCTATAGTATCTTTAAGAATTAAAATGTGCAATGTCTATGCTTCTGATTTCAGGGCCTGAAACTGAAGCCACTTGTGTCAGAATCCCACATTAGTGTGCCAAAGTAGAAGGCTGGACTTGTCACCTTACACAGGCTATCAAGTAGTTAGCAGTTACCCAGGAAACTGGGGTAAAAAACCTAGGGTACCTTTGGCATTTGCAGAAGGGTAAGTAACCTTCTTCAGAAAGAAAGATGGCTACTCCACAGACAATAGTTTTTGGATCAGGTTAATATTTGTTCTTCTGGTACAATATTTTTTTCTTACTTTATTTTTAAATGTATTAATTCTTAATTTAGTAATTAGCTGAATCAGTCATCATTACACGGCTGACCGTGGCTTAAGAATTAGATAAGTGATGTAAGAGGGCAGTATTCATTCATTCAATTAAAAAAAAATCAACAGAGTATCTATTGGGTGCTAGTCTTTCATGACATGGCATGGTCCTTACCATAGAGATTAGAATGCTCATAATTTGTTTGAAGGTATAAATAAGTTAAAGAGATAAAGAGATGGAAAATGTATAGTGTTTATGGGAGCAGGAGGGCAGGGAAGTCACCTAACTGAGCTAGAGAGAAAAGGTATCTCATAGGAGAGAACCTCTAACACACCACTCATACTTACTTTACTCATGATAAATCAAATTGTTCATTTTTGTTTATAAGATTATTTATTAATACCAGAGAAGGTGAAAAGCACAGAATGATAAGTGTTGATAAGGATATAGAGAGACTGAAACTCTTGACTACTGGGAAACATAAAATGGTGCAGTTGATGCTATTAAAGACAGTATAGAAGTGCCTCAGAACTCCATATGATCCAGCCACCCTACTTCTGGATATTTATCCAAAAGAACTGAACACAGGATCTCAGAGAAGTATTTGAGACCCTATGTTCATTGAAGCATTAACCAAGAGGTGGAAGCAATAGAATAGACAAATACAACGAATATTATTCAGCCTTAAAAAGAAGAATATCCATGCCGGGCTCAGTGGCTCAGCCTGTAATCCTGCGCCTTTGGGAGGCTGAGGTGAGTGGATTGCCTGAGCCCGCAGGTTCAAGACCCGTCTGGGCAGCAAGACCTCATCTCTACAATAAATAAAAAAAAAATCAGCTGTAATTCCGGTTACTCGGAAGGCTGAGGCGGAAGGATCGCCAGAGCCCAGCAGGTCGAGGCTGCAGTGGCCGGGAGCGGCCACTGCACTCCAGTCTGGGCGACAGAGTGAGACTCCAACTCAAAAAAAAAGAAGAATATCCTGTCATATGCCACACATGAATGAACTTGAGGATATTATTGTATGTAAAATAAGTCAGTCACAGAAAGACAAATATTACTACATGATTCTACTTACATGAAATATCAAAAGTAATCAAACTCACAGAAGCAGAAAGTAGAATGATGATTGCTAGGGCTGGAGAGAGGGCCAAAAGGGAAGTTGCTGTTCAGTGGGTCTAGGGCTTCAGTTATGCCAGATGTAAAACTACTAGAGAGCTGTTGTATGACAGTGTGCATACAGTTAACAGTACTGTATATTTAAAAATTTTAAGAGAGTAGAATTCAAGTTATACATATTTTTACCATATTAAAAACAAATGGACAGGAAAGAGTCCAGTGACTAAAGTCAAGGGTAGAGGAATCATGCTCCCATTAACTACCATTAATCAACCTTGACCAAGTTACTTCACCTCTCTCAGCCTGTTTCCACAGCATAAAATGGACTAATCATAAGTAGCCACCTGACAGAGTTGTTACAAGCATTAAATGAGGAAATTAGTAGAAAGCACATGGGTACCTGGCACACAAGCTCAATTAAAGTTTAGTTTCTATTATTACTGATAATAACAAGTATAGTTGTATGTTTGAGGATGAAGAGAGATGGGCATCATCTGCACTGGTGTGTATTAGAAATTCCTGTGGGTTAATTAAAAATACACATCCAGGGCTCCAACACAGAACTACAGAATTAAATCACATGAGAGTGGAGCCCAGGTTTCTAAAACAGAATAAACTCACATCCCAACTATCTACTTTTGGGTCATGATTGTTTTGTTGAAATTCAAAGGTTTTTGCATTCCCTTGATCACTTTGCTATTTCTGTGGCATATTAAGAGACAAGGAAGAAAAATACAATAATATTTTTGATACAGATAAGGAAAGTTGAAGAAATTTATATTGATAGCCTCAGTTTTCTGAGCATATAAGGTAAGCTCCATCCACACTGAAGACAAGGGCTTACCTAAAAGTGGAAAAGATTTAGAACTACTACTATGGAGAATGCAATTAAGATACAAGATAAAAACAAAACGATCATGAAATAGTCCTTAAGGCCTAACTGAGGTTAGCCTGCTGCCTTAATTTTAGTCATACTTATGTTTTAGCAACAGAGTATTTGCCTAAAAGGAACTGATTTTCTCACAAAATATGTTACATGTTCTGGGTTTTCAAATTATGCACTTCTACACAAACACATATACACGAATATACACAATGACAAGATTCATGAATAGAATATTTTAGAATCATCTACTCTAGAGCGAATAGATGGTTCTACTAGAACCTTCTGTGATAAAGAAAATGTTCTATATCTGCTCTATCCAATAATGGAAGCTATTAGCCACATAGAATGTGAATTGTGAGAGTGGGGAACTGAATCTTAATTTAACCTGGGGTCAGTAGGCACTTAGGTGATTCACAGACTCTGGGGCTTGTGGAGTTCAATGTGAAACTATATTCAATAACATGTGTATGCAAATTTTCTGGTAAGAAGGCATTTGGACTTAATTCTTAAAGGGAGGCAACTCCCTTAGGTCGCCTCCCACTGTGGGAGCTTTTCTGTCCTCTCAATAAATCCTGCTTTCTAAAAAAAATAAAAAATAAAAATAAATAAATAAATACATTCTTCAAGGGTTCTGGGGACCCAATGAAAGTTTAAAACCATGTATCCTGTTTCTTATACTATATTTTTCTGTCATTTGGTCTACCATTTTTATTTATGACATGTAAGTAAATAGTGTCATTCTATTTGGATTCCAAACAACTAAATAACTTACTAAAATAAACACCATTCTGGAGTAGAGTTTAAATTCTCTCACTTTGTAGCCAGAGCAGAAGGAGGCAGCCTGAAGACAGATTAGGCAATAATTAAATGGGGCATGATACAGAAACTATAGATAAACTTCCTTGGCAAAACTATTTTTAAAAATATGTTTATCACAGTGCCTGAAATCTCCACTGGTCTAAAGATAAACCTTTAGACTACTATTTCTGGAAATAATATGTTACCCTTATAAGCTTTACATAAATACAGCAATTTACTACTAATAATTGCTATAATTAATTTTATATAATTTACTATAATTAATAGGAGAGGATTCTTAATTTATGGGGATATGTATTCTGGAGAATCTCTAATAGGGTTAGATTACTGCATTTTTCTACAGTAAAGATTTATTTGAGAAAAGGGACTATGTTTTTCCACACAGAATCAGGAAAAACAACTATTATGCTCCCCTCCAAATTTTGTTTTTACATTCTCATTCTATTAAAAAACTGTTTTAGGTGTTAAGCTCTGTATCATCTTTTATTATCTGATAGTTTCTAGTGAAGCAGATTTGTTCAGTGTATATGTAAGCACAAGCAATAGCAAAGATGAGGATGGTAGGGTAGACTGTGAACAGGTAGCAATTATCCTACAGTAATATTAAAGCTATTAACATATCCAGCCTTCCTAGGAATAACCAGGCATTTCTTTCTAATATGTTCCCAAAGCACTGTTCATCCATCAAATTCCCCCAGGATGGGCTGGGAAATTGATTATCTGTAGCTCTATTCCTTTTGTCTAGAAAACCCTCAATGACCTCAGGAGATACTAAAAAATGAACTCAGGAGAAAACCATTTAGTAGACTGAGTTGGACCTCTTTGTAGAAATGGCTTGATGTCCCATCTACATTATGGGTGGACTGCATGGCTAATGAAACAACACCGATCAAGCTCTTTTCCCTAATTATATCAGCAAACACTGCAGAATTCAAAGCTATATCTGCTGCTTGTTTTCCATGCGGCATTTCACACTTTCAAAGCTACCTAATGGCAAAAATTTTGTCATTAAGTTTCCTTTCTCAGGCAACTTCAGTAAAACATGGGAAACTAATTGGTACATTGGTTTCATTTCTTGGTTGTTGGTTACATATATTTCTGGTTTATACATGATACCTTCTTAACTTAATAAAGAGAAATT